TTTTTATTTTTTATTGTTAGTTTCAGGTGTACAGAACAATGCAATAGTTACCCTTTGTCACCCTCACCAGGTATTTTTAAAAGTATAATTTATATGCTACAAAATAAGAGAAAATGGTACTGAATAAAATGCTCAATCTGAGTATTAAGGAAGAGGCATTCACACATGGTAAAATGATATAGACAAAAATTACAGACAAATTGAATTTTTCTCAGTAGGGGAATAAATAAATTATGGAACCACAGAATACCCAGCTATAAATCTATATATACTGACATATTAGGAGGACCAACACACATTAAGTGAAAAGTATGTTGCAAAACAATACATTAGAAATCTCTTCTACATAATTATTTAAAATGATAAGAGACAGACAGACAGAATAAGACTATAAAGACACATACCAAATTGTCAGCAGTGGTCCTTGCTGGCAAGAGAAATGGGACTTAGAGTAAATGGAAAGGAGCTATGAGTTTTGATTGTTCTATAAAATTTTTCTATGCATCCATTGCAATGAAAATCTCTAGACATATTATTTATGCAAAACTTTTTTAAAGAAAGCAAGGAAGGAAGAATATTATGAAGTCTTTCCACAAAACCAAAAGTAGTTGCTAGCTTATCTCAGTCATTGCCAAAAAGGATTTCAACCACATCACTTCAAATAGGAACCTGAGATCCACCATTAACAGATTTAATTTATAATTTCAATTAGGGACTAATAGGATTTACAACTGTACAATACAATAGTTAAGAATGGACTGAAAACTAAACCAAGGATCAACTAGAATTTTCAAGCTAGAAGGGACTTTAGGGACCATCCAGATCTGGCATCTCATTTTACACATGAGAAACCTGAGAAGAAAGAGCCTCCTAACAACAGACAACTAATTTCACAGCCAGTGTGTTAAAAGAGGCGAGAACCCAACTTCGTCATTTCCATTCCAGGTCTCTGGTAAATTCAATTCCTTTCATTCTAACAACTTTGTAAGTATCATCTGTGGTTCCTGAAAATTCCCAAGTGGTTCCCGAAAATCTTCATTTTCTAATTCCATTTCCACATCACCTGATTAAATAGGTCTTCACATTTACAGGTTGAATCCAGTAGAAAATTCACAGAACTTAGCATGGTGAAGAAATTTAGAAACTGTCTCTTGTCTAATGTTCTCATTTTTTGTTTTTTGGTGTTGTTGTTTTGTGTTGTTGTTGTTTTTTAAAATAAAACAGCTTAAGTAACTTGCTACATTCAGTGAGTCAGACACAGAGTTGAAAGTGGAACTCAATTGTCCTAACACCCAGGACACTGTTTTTCTGTATTTCGCATTCATTTTACTTAAAAAACAAAAAAAAACAAAAAAATGGCAGTGTGATCTTGTAGCACTAAAACCCATTGTCTAACCAGGTGACTTTAGGCAAGTCACTGAACTCTTGTAAACTGGGTTTCGATAATGAGCAGGTTCGATAAGATGAGCTCTGAAGTTTCTTACTCCTTTCCATGAGCCTGGACTATTTAAGATGGTGTTCAATATGCATTAGGTCATTGGATCTAGTGGCAAAATGGAATATTGCAGTTCAACTCTCTGAGTAGATTTAAAGAGGAGAGTACAGAAAAGCAACAGAAGAGAAAAAAGTGGAATTCGAGAACTTCTTAGCCTGGACCCAAATATAGAGGTCGAGCTAGCTAGCGAATCTGTTGTTTCTAGGTCATTCTCAAAAGTGGAAAGTTACCATGTGTCATAATTACTCACCTACCACAGGGTTACCAGGAAGTTAACTTCTCCTGAGCATCTAGTTTTCACCTTTTACATTTCTTCCTACTAATATTCTGAGAATGCCTCTAGTATAGCTGAACAGCTTATATATTATATAAATTAGATATGCTATTAAGGCCAAAAATTTGGTTTCCCTTAAAAACAACATTCGACAATGGTAACTGTTAAAACAAAAGAACAATAAGACCTAAAGTCTGATTCTGATATATTTGGGGATGTAGTAACGTGAATGTAATCAAGCTTTTTCTGGAAAATCACTAGAGGTTGACCTCAAAATCCTGTATCTAATACATTCCTCAGTCACATTTTGCCATCAGGCAATTCTTATTAACATGCATATAGTTAATATCATTATTCATGTCTTTCTTCATAACCTCAGTTTAAATAATTGCAAGAAAGCATCTGTACAAAATCTCTTTATACTGAAATGTTTCTACAGTTACTCTGTTCTTCCTTCAGATAAATAAATCCAGTTCATTCTTGCTCATAATCTGTTTTTCTTTCTCTCTTCCCTAAAAACGTTTCCTAACAGGGCATAATACTTATTGATGGCCTGAACAATAGTGGAATTCAGTTTTATACCCACCCGTGAAAACTTCCACTTATCCCATGAGTTGCATGCATATCTAGCTGAGCTTCTAAGTGGACTTTGATAAATTCTAAGTAGAGACAGCTTTGGGATGAAATATGTTTGAGTAAGTAAGCCTAAATTTTGGTGAAATAGTTTGCAGCAAAACTTGCTTAGCCAGGTTTCCACCAGTACCCTAAACAAAGGGCTGGGGTAGAGGTGTGACTGGACACTTGGACATTTGTGGAAAAACTATAAGGAAAAAAATCGATCGTTGGTATGGGTCTCTGTCCCTTTTGAGGGTGGAGGAAAAAGGAGAGAGTAAAAAAATCCCTAGATTTGGAGGATCAAGAATAGATGAGGCTTAGAGAGACAGAAAGCCACATAGAGAAGTTGTCCATTCAGAAGTTGCCAGTAAGAATAAAGTAGAAAAAGTAGCCTGATACGCTTAGGCCATGAGTACTTGACAATCCCACTGGTTATTCCAAGTTTTTAGACCACCTGACCCCCGAGCATCTGCTGTCAGTACTGAGGAAGCCAGAGGCTACAACAGGACCATGAACGCCACAGTGAATTCAATAGCAACAGCGGCCAGTAACCCACAGGTAAGTGGAGAGCAAGTCCCATCTCAGCACAAGCCAGCAGTGGGAAGAGGGAGACCATGAACCTGATGATCCCTTCCACAATGACACAGAGGCTTCCTGAAATCCAGATATTGCCAGGTAGAGATGGAAAGGGAAACAAACAAATATAGAGTGCCACGTAAAAAGAGACAAGGCTTACAAGGAGGGGGCTGGCAGAACGAAGGCAGAGTCAGGCATTACACTGAGTGAAAGGGCAGGAACAGTTAGCGTAGGCACCCTCCTGCAATTCCCAGCATGTGCTGGGAGGAGAGGCAGTGTGGTGTGAGGCTATCTGGGAGTCTGCCCAGCCACAAAACCAGATACGGTCCATCTGTGACCTTGCAGCCTGGGCCTGGCAATCACCTGACAGCAGCCCTCTCAGTAAGGAAACCAGAGGCTTCCAGTGGCTGCACTCGGTCACCTGTCAGGACTACCTTGGAAAGTCTCCGCACAGCCTGCATGTAGCCCTTGGGGCCCAGAGTTTCAAACACCAAGCAGTGAGTCCCTCTGAAAGCTTCCTATGACCAGTGTGCTCTGAAGACCTCTGCGTCCTCTGCCTCTGCCAGAGCCAGTGGTCTCCCACTGCACACCCAGCCGCCGAGTGCTGATTATCTGCTCCCTGTATGCACACCAGAGTGTGGCCTAATGTTTACCCAGCAACTCCAGACCAGTCCCAGCCTGGCCAAACTAGTGAACTTCACTGCTACCTGGTAGCCAAACCCATACCTTCTCCAACAAGGTCTGAGCCCCTTCCAAGTACGTCCTTCCTTGGACACTCGCTCTCAGCTCTAGAGTATCACATACAGTTTCCTTTTAATTACTTTCATCACAGTTAACAATTCTTCATATTAAACTCCCCTGGTTAACCTGATATATGGCTTCTGTCTCCTGAATTGACCCAGGGGGCTACACCCTCCCACTACCAAAACCGACATTTTCACTTTCTCCTCCCCTGGACCGTTCCCAGCCCTTAATGTCTCTCTCCTGTAGAAATGGTCTTGGACAACTGTAGCTCTAGTCTATAACCCTCCCCCGAAACACCATTTTATTTGTCAACTTAAGAACACGTAAGGGTTCTCTTCTTTCTATCAGCTCAAATATGAGCCACGCAGAGATCTCAAGGCCCTCTGTGACCTGGCCTCACCTGGCCATCCAGCCCTGCCACATGCTGGGAATATTTCTCTCCATGTGAGAGTCATGCAGTTCTCTAGCCCTCACCATGCCTGCTCCCATCGTCATGTCTGTGTTCAAGTTCCTCTCGTCCTTTTTTCCCACTAATCCCAGAGCCTTCTGGGACCAGTTCTAAGAGTCAATCATCCATTCATTAGTCATTTGGGGGTGATTTCTTCCCATAGTTTTGTCAGTGTTGTCCTCACCACACAATTAGCACCTTATTAGATCCTGTTGTCTTAATTTTCTAAGTGCACATACGTCACCACCACCCCAAGATTAACCCTGTGATACTCATTCTCTAATTTGTGTGTTCGTGGCTAATCATTCTAACTTAACTATCTTTATATTTCTTACACTACTTCACAAATCTTTGCATAGCGGTAAGCTCAATCGTAAATGATGGGAAAAGCAGACTAAGCCAAATAGTTTTAACCCTTATATGGCTTGGCAAATGAGCCTGGGAAGGATTTCAACTCAATCCTATACAACTATGTGGGAGCACTGGATTCATGAATATGGAATTTTAAAACACTGACTTAAAAAAAAAAGTCAAATTGTATTTAAATCTTTTAAAGGGAGTTGTTGCTTGAATTTTGTTTTAATAGAATTTTATTATACAGCATATTACTGGAATCCTAGACGACGTCTCACAGCTTGGGCAGTAGATTAGTTATATGGCAAATTTCATGCTCTAGTATTACTGTGATGGAATTATTTTCATGACCAATATTAATTAACAGTCTACATCTATATTAGGCCCTGGACTTAGATATAGCAATTCCAATGCATTACCTGACTTATGGAGCTTACAGCTCAGTAAAGCAATCTATATTTAGAAGGATGTAATTTTCTTAATGTTATACTTACTGATAAACTTGTTTTGCATAGTCTCCAACAGAGCTTGGTGAGCATCTTCAGCTTGCAAAGCGTGTGAACATTCTCTAGCCAGTATGGTGCGTACAAGATGCTCCCCACATCCTAAAAATCCAAGGAAACCAAAAATGGTTGAGGAAAAGCAGTACTAAACATCCTTCTTATCTTATGAGTATTTAAACACCCCTATGCACCACTTAAGAAGTAATCGAGCTGGAGAATAATTCAGTGATGGATGAAATGACTTGTATGAGCAATCTAGTAATTTTAGCAATGATAGGTTTGGCAGAAAGTAAAGAAACACATGACTGTCTTATCTCAAAAGGAAACAAAAAAAATGAAAGGAAAACCCTTTTTCCTAGGAATGATTTACATAATACAGGACTTTAGGTTGTCTACCTAGGAATCTCCTAGGGTTCTGTCTCATTTCTACAGTTGGGTAGCTACAAAAATCTCTTTTTTATAATTTATGAATTTGTTTACATTCAATCGGCCTTGGTCTCCCATTTCCCTCTGGCACCCACACACCTGGGAGCACGGGAGAAATTTAGCCAACTGGGGACTATCTAAATCTCCCCCAACGTACTTTTCACTGAAAGGTTCACCATACCTCAACAGCTGTAAAGTGGACTTCATAAAATAGCACCTTTTCCACCTTCTTATAGTAATTTACATAGCTTTTAGGGGTGAATACTCTCTGTCCTACTAAAGTAAGAATGCATTTTAACCCCCATTCAGACACACTAAGAAAGGGTAGGCATGGTGGTAATGAAAACTGCCTAGAATTCTATTACAGTCTCTACCTGCTAAAAGTAGAAACTGCCTGCAGAAGTAGAGACAAAGGAAATTTAATTTATAGGTTAGTAAGTTCAAATAAAAGATTTCTGAAAAAAGAGCCTGATTTTTTCTTAGAAGTACAAAATGTAAAAAAGCTACTTTGACAAACATAAGAGGGATAAGCCTTTTTTAAAACATAGTAAGTGCCACTTGAAATGCTTTTTATATATAAAATCAATTTCACTATTAAAATGACAGTGTCCTCTTACCCAAAGGAAAACAGTAGATATAAAAGACCTTTACAAGGTATCTCTTTTAAAAAACATTTTTCCACTCAAAATGATTCCTCCCTCATCTGAACCTCTGCTTCCCATCTCTTTAAAACAATTTCCTGCCAAAGGTGTTCTGTTAATTCATTAGAAAATCAAGTTCTCCGTTAATTAAAGATACAAAAGATCTCAGCATCTACTGAGACTAAAAAGTATGACTCCATCCTACGGTAAAAAAAAAAAAAAGTCACAGCAAAAGAAGAAGCATCTTAAGATTCACTCAGATTCCCCAGCAAGAACAGAGACAAAGTAACTTTTTTTCATGTCATTAACTTGCACGGCAGGTATGAGCGTGCGCCTGCGCATGCGAGCACACACTCACACACACACACACCCTCACATACAGGTACATAGAGATGGGAGGTTATTAGCAATTACAAAGAAATGTGGGCTAAGATTATCAAATGAAACAACCTCTTTTAAATAATGCTTTAAAATTCTTAATTTCATGAAACTTAACCAACACAAAGTACTATGATACACATTGTTAAACCATGTTGGTGCTTTTCATTTCATAAATTTTCTCTTCATACATATACAGACCTCTCCTCCCTTCCTCCTGCCTCCCCCTCCACTATATATACATATATATATATACACACACACACATGCACATATGCATACACACATATATGCATATTATGTATGCACATACAATGCGTGCTCATTGCCAACAGTTTTTGAACAAACTGTTCAAAAATTATCAAAGGTTTAAAAAAATTGTCTGGCATTTTGCCTGAAGGACTTCCCCTGTACTTTTTGGTAAAGTGTAAATGCAAATATCCTTTAAGATCTAAATATGTCTTTGTAAGTATCTACACTTAGAGGAAGATCTAGATATGTAATTTAATATATAACTTCGTAGGCAGGGTCATGGTGATCCCTATTTTGTTAAATTTTTGCAATAGTATTTTCATAATCAGGCAAAAAAAACAACTAGAAAGCTAATAGAAAAGAAACCATTTTTGACATTTACTATGTAGAGACACTGTGCTAAGCTCATGAAACTCCATAAATTTTAATTCCCTTTGTGTACATATTTGATGTTGAACAGTGAAATGTTATACTTTAGAACAATAATAATTGTTAGGAAATTGGCATATTATAAGCTAAATGAGTGTTCAGAAGGTTATGTATACACACCTCAAGTCAAACAGTTAAACCACATAAAGTTAACATTACATCAAAAATACACAATGTATGTCAGAGAGACTTTTTCCTCTGTTGTTATACAGGAATAAGCAGGGTTTTCCAGTGATTGATTTTTACCAAGAAACTTTTAAAATTATGACTTGTATTCTGACATATATCACCTCTAACATAAGAGCCTTGACACCAAAAACTTATTCTCCTGCAGGTTCCAATCAAAGGAAAGTTTAACTTCTGTGGTTTTACCCACAAAATTCCAAGGTTTCTTAGAATATGATACCATGTAGATGAAGTAGAATTCAAAGGCAAACAGTACCATTCTTTATTCACAGATATTAGAAATAAGCCTTTCATTACATACTCCTTTTGTCCTTACTCGTGAAAGTAACAGTGTATTTATGTTGTCTGAGCTCAGTAGAAAACATGGATTTTATATATATAATAAAGACCTAACAAGACACCTAAAGAAAAGTGAAATAAATCAAGTTCTAAAAAGAACATAGAAAAGTACACACTTATTTAGCATCAATAAAAATGGCAGCTGAACGGATTGAAGCACATAGTGAATTCATGTTTTAAATGGCATTTTGTTACCTTTGGAGAATGATATGGAACCAACTCACTATTCTGAAAACTGATAAATGAAAGAAAAAAAAGATCAAGGATTTCTATGTACTTCCTATATGAACTGTACAGCAGGGTAACCAGATAGTTTATGAAGAAAAAGACTCTCCATAGAATTATCCCAGCTAATAAATAAAAAAGAACTTAACAGAATTAGAATATTACCATTTGTAACCTATAATATAATAATTGATATAGGCAACAAACATCAATGGCTGCTAATATTACAAAAATATACAACCAGATATCACATCTCTTGAGAAAATTACACCTTTGTAGTCTTGTTCCCACCAAAAAAATTAAACCTGAATCTGATCAAGCCTCCAAATTCAATTATCGGTTTCCAGAAATAAAGTGTATCAACAAAAAGTCTACAACTAACATCAAACTTAATTGTGAAAGACTGAATTGTTTTTCCCTAAGATCAGGAACAAGGCAATGATATCACTTTTATCAATGCTATTCAACAATATACTAGAGGTTGCAGCCACTGTAATAAAGCAAGAAAAAGAAATATAAGGCATAAAGATCAGAAAGAAAGAGTAATACTACCCCTATTTACAGATGATATAATTGTTTATGTAGAAAACTCCAGAGAAATTAACAGATTCTCTCCAGATTCTTCCTTTCTGCTTAGTAGTCTAGGGCAAAGGTTTGCAGCAGATACCCACCTGATACTTACCAGTACCCAAAATGTAAATCTGATTTTTATTGCCTCCCCCATCCATTCACTCACCAAATTGTTATTGAGCACCTATTTGGTGCTTGGCCCAAAGTACACAGTAGTTGGCAGGGGTGTTGCTGCACACTGTCAGATCTCCCTAAAGGTGTTAGACCCTTCCTTGGCTACTCAATTGTCATTCTGGCCAGTCCAGATGTCAGTGCCCTGATTGTGTATTTTATAGATCAACCTTAGGAATTTAGATGAGAACCCTGCTAAGAGCCAGTCTCCTTGCCCAAGTGATCCTCTGTTAATCCCAACTCTTAGCCCAGTCTCAGCTGACTCTTGCCCAGTATGATTCCTGTTACTGAGACTCCAGTATGTGCTATATCCAGAGACTTCAGAATTATAATGCATTTCCCCTCTTGTCGGGATCCTTAACTTTTCAGAACCCATGCTAAAGATGAAATCACAATAAAAAATATAAACACACACACACACACACACACACACACACACACACACTTATAAGGTGGAATGAGTAGATGCAAACATCAGAAAGATTATCAAACCAAGAAGTGGTGATAATAGAATAGAGTTTGGCAAACATTTTCTGTAAAAAAAAAGATAAATATTTTAGATTTTACAGGCTACATATGATCTCTGGCAAATATTCTTCTTCTATTTTCGTAATAACCTTTTAAAAATGTTAAAATCATTCTTAGCTCATGGATTGTACAGAGTTCATGGATCACATTTGTAATAGAACAATCTGTAGTACAAAGATAAAAAGGAAAGAAGATCATAATTTTAAAAACAGAGCAAGCTGGGGCCGGTCGAGTGGCGCGATGGTTAAGAGCTGGCTTGGGACGCCAGAGGGCCCTGGTTCGGATCCCACATATGAGGGCCAGTGACACTGCCCTCCACAGCTAAGATGCTGAACAACAGCTCAACCTGGAGCTGGGCTGCTGTGAGTCGCCGGCGACGGCGTAGGCTGCAGCCCCTGTGGCAGTGGGTTGCCATGCGCTACCATGTATAGCCAGCAGCCAGCATGAGCAGCCAGCAGCCGCTGTGAGTGGCCGTCCAGAAGCCGGCGACTGATGTGCCTCACCCAGGAAGAGCGCAATGATGGTGCCAACTTGGACCAGTGAAGCAACATCCTCCACAACTAGACTGAAGAACAAAAGGACAGCAACTTGTCTGTTCCCCTTTCCCCAATTCCCCAGCACTGTTCCCATCCCCCAATTCCCCCAATAAAAAATCTTAAAAAATAAATAAATAAATAAAATAAATAAAAACAGAGCAATCTGGGGGCAGGGGATGAGGGGGAGCTGTACAGTTTTTTCAAGGAACCAAATAAAACTTTCCAAAAAAACCTAAAACAAAACTGTTTAAAACAATGCATGTAACAAGCATCAGATTAAATGCAGCTCAAGCAAGAGAACTAGAAGATACATCCGTGAAAAACTATAAAGCAGTTTAGAATGATAAACAGAATGAAAATTTGTTAAGAAGCCTGGAGTATAAAATGAAAATATCCAGTCTATTAATAGGCATTTTGAAAG